GTCCCCGGGGAAACTTAAACTTATCCCCCTATGAAATACTTTTTGGTAGGCCCTCCCCTGTATATAATACTCAATTTCCAACATCCGAGTTAGAGGTAGGCGAGTCAGAACTAACACAATATGTGATGCACCTACAGAGGCAACTCATTCGTCTCCACAGATATGCTGCCTCAAGCCAAAACATCCCTCTAGATGAAAACATCCACTCGTACCTACCAGGGGACTGGATATTAGCAAAAACATATCACAAGGTACCCTTACAGCCCACCTGGGAGGGCCCCTACCAAGTACTGTTAACCACTCCAACTTCTGTTAAGGTAGCGGAAAAGACAGCCTGGTTGCATCACACCCGCTGCAAGCCGGCTTTGCCACCTGAACCCACACCGGACGAGCCGCCCTACCAAGTCCCACGCCAACCAGCGGACGACGACAACTGCGACGAGCAAAACCAACAGACCGGACCAGATCGGGGCACGAGTCGGGCCCAACAGACCGGACCAGATCGGGGCACGAGTCGGGCCCAACAGACCGGACCAGATCGGGGCACGAATCGAGCCCAACAGACCGGACCAGATCGGGGCACGAATCGGGCCCTACAGACCGGACCTGACTCACCTCTCACATCAACACTTTGGTCTTCCGAACTCATCACTACACCTAGCCATAAAGACAAACCCCCCATCCGCCTGAAACTCCGCAAGGTACCGCCGCTCCCCATTTGACAGCTCTTGCAGTTTGACAGCTCCACCGCCCGCCGCTCCCCATTTGACAGCTCTGCAGTTTGACAGCTCCACCACCCGCCGCTCCCCATTTGACAGCTCCGCAGTTTGACAGCTTCACCGCCCGCCGCTCCCCATTTGACAGCTCTGCAGTTTGACAGCTCCACCACCCGCCGCTCCCCATTTGACAGCTCCGCAGTTTGACAGCTTCACCGCCCGCCGCTCCCCATTTGACAGCTCTGCAGTTGACAGCTTCACCGCCGCCGCTCCCATTTGACAGCTCTGCAGTTTGGACAGCTTCACCGCCCGCCGCTCCTCGTTTGACAGCTCTACTATGACAATCACCATACCCATCCTACTTCTCCTCCATTTCACCACCACCTTTTCCCAGAACTCCACGATTACACATGCTTCTTGCCCTGGATTACAAACTGAATACAAATACCTGGACTTTGGCATCGTTGATATGGTAAAAAGAGGAACATTAGACCGCCTCGGGGATTTCGAATTCTGCTTGCCAGAGACCCGCGTTCTCCTTCGGCACTCCGTTTCACCGATCCTCTCCGCACACCAAACCTGGGAACTCTTTGTTCGCTCACCATCCTTCCGATCTCTGGGCAAATTCATACTCACCAGAGACGGGCCTTGGAACCGTGCCCAATGCCTCAATGGGTCTTACGTACTTTTCTCCGATGGTACACCACGACAATCGCTGAACTGGACTGTCCTCGATACTAGTGGTGGTAAGTCAGTCTATACTGACCAAAACCACCCCACGGATCGTCTGATCCACGGATTCTACTGTCAAAGGGTAGATTCTGCTCCCCGCCAAACCATTTTACAAGGCATCTGCCTCCGAAGGTACTGCTGCGTCTGGGATATTGGATTAGCCTCCAATTGGGACGGCAAAATGTACCTAGAAGGATGGCACTACTCCGTACCTCCTACGGCAGAATGGGACACCACCGGCCCCCAGAGATGTGGAGGCCTTGCCACAAACTTAACCTACTTGTTGCGCCAAGACCCCCTTCATCCTGCGGGCACTGCACCTCGACAAAGGGGGGAACTGTCAACGTCCCAGGACTCTAACAACAACGACCTCTTGTCCACCTGGCATTCCAACACCTATGTGAAACTGATCTCCCAAATTGCAAGACAAACAACCACCAACGAATGCTGGATCTGCGCCAACGCTCCTTCACACCTCCACAGTGGCATACCATTCCTTGGAGTGCCCCTCACCTTGGAACAACATCTTTCCGCTGATGTACGGTCCTGGAACCTGACCGCTGTGAACTTAACTCACCAGTACATCTACCTGACAGGACCCACAACAGGCGACCTCTGCCGGAAGTTCAGCGGCAACGACAAAGTTATCGGCGAGAGCACCTGTAAGTACACCCTCGATATTACCTTAAGCGGCAGGATTACCCTATGGCACCAAGGCAACCCTTCCACCCACCTTACCTTACTGTCCGCTTGGAAACGTGTGATGAACTTGCCTGACTCCTGGGACCCTTCCCCGATTTCCCAGTGCTTCTTCCGCACCTTCCATACTGGGCGCATAGACTCGTGCCTGCAGGGGCTGTTCTGGATTTGCGGCCACCGCGGGCTATACATGGGCCAGCCCCCACTCTCGTGGCACCTGTACCTTGGACTAATCTTACCTGGGGTCCGTGTTACCCAAGAACTCCCCCCCGGAAAGAGGCGCAACAAGAGAGCGAAAGACTTGTCAGAACTCTCCGATGTTGCAGCCAACGGGGAAACTTACGGCCGGGCCCTCTTTCCCGCTTATGGGGCCGGCTCCAACCACGTCGATATCCTCAAACTGACTGACATACTGCTGAACTTTATGGAAGAATCCAATGCGGCTACCCAATCCATCTTAACTGAATTAACAGAGGTCAGGCAGAATTCGATCCAGAACCGCCTTGCTTTGGACTACGTACTCGCCTCGACTGGAGGGGTTTGTGCCCTCATAGGAACCGAATGCTGCACGCACGTCACTGATCAGACCTTGAACATCACAGGGCACCTTAATAACATCTACAAACTGACCGATAAACTCAGGGATATCCAACACGAGGGCCTATCGGACACTCATTTCTGGAGCTGGCTACCTGGGTCGACTTGGATAAAGCAACTTCTGGGGAACGGCCTCTTAATATTGATCACTGTTGCCATCTGCATTGTTTTCTTCTGCTGCATGATCCACTGCTTCCCGATGTGCTGTCAAACTTGCGGCTCTTGTCTTCCTATCCTTCATCCGCGATCGAACCCCATCTACAGACCACCGGCATCGGAAATCCAATCAACTTCCATCGAGATGGGACCCTTGCACCACCTCCGGACCTTGGACTCTAGGTATGACATGTCAAGCCTCTATTGATTATGCGGAGAGAAGGATTGCGCGGTTTTCCTACCTTCGCAATCTTATCTCCGAAGGGGGGAACTGTCGCCGGAAACCCCCCCCCCCCAACTCACTGACACGTGTTACACAAGCACCACACTCACACACGCATACATTCCCCCTTCCTGACCCTGGAATGTCCCTTTTAGAGGGACATCCCTTAAAGCCTTCCGTAAATAAGGAAGCGCTGGCTTGACAGCTTCCCGCTATGGCGCTCCGCATCGCCCTATTTTTATTGAGAGTAGACCGGCCGACCGAACTCTGCTGTCAATCGGCGCCCGCCTCAGCCAATCAACATTACCGAACAGCGCCCCTTGCGGCGGCCACGCAGGTACTGCAGGCTACTGCCGTTTCCCCCTTTCCCTTGACAGCTCTCAATACAAGGTTTCCGAGTTCAATTGACCGTGACTGATTTAATCAAAATGTAGCAAGCCGCTTCCTGAAAGCGAAAGCGCTTTGAACTTCAAAGACAATATTCTTCATAAATTCACTAAAAATCAGCCGTACTTCGGATTTTCACCGGACCACTTTTATTCTGCTGGATATTACAAAGACTATCAAAGGGGGGTGGTCCGAAATCAAGCGGCCATAATCCCTTAACCGAGCAGTCACGTACTCTGTGTTCCTTCCTACTAGACGTGACCACCTTGATAGCCATCAGTGATCGGCTCAGACAGGAGGCTATCAAAGACACAATGAACTGCATATCTTGGTGTATTCCGCGCAGGCATACACAAAAGACTGTGATCGGACTCTCCTCAGGGGGCAGGAAACTTTGCCCTCTTCCTTTGTTTTCGTATATGACTCATGCGGGGAGGGGGAAGGGGGCTCCGGCCAGGTGTCAGGACACTCGGGTTACCTGCGCGGCCCCTCCCCAACCCCTCCTATTTTTTAATATAATCGTGATGTAAATGTGATGTAATTCTGAGGGTGTAGCTTAGGGGATTAGCAACTAATAAAAGTTAGGGTCTCCCTTTGTTCGGGGCTTCCATTTTGCTTCACCTTGTGGGCGGTGGGAGTCCTGTCGCGACAGTCTTTCTAAATAAAGACCGAGCCTACTGGCTGCTGTTTTGCTCTGACTTGCTCTGGTCGGTGTCTTCATTTGCCCAAGAGGACCCTTGAATTTCCGTTAACAACTGCAAGGACACTAGAACTACCGTATGTTTCCGTGTATAAGACAAGTATTTAATATGGGGGGGGGGAGATGCTAAAATTTGGGAGTCGTCTTATACATGGATAGTGGAGAGGTGGGACGGGCGATTGGTGGGTGGCGCTGAGCAGGAGATTGTCAGCGACGTAGCGACGTTTCTGCGGGCAATTGGTTGTTGCCTGAAGGTTCGCTGGTTATTGGCTGCTGCAGCAATTGGGTAGGTGATTGGCGATTACTTTTTGCAAGCGTGCAGACAATTGGTGGCTTTGTTGATGTGTGTGTGATTGGCTGTCGTGGTCCTGCGGGAGAATGATTTTTGGCAAACCGCCCCCCCCAAAAAAGCTCAACAGCTCTGTGCAATCTCCCCCCATTTTCCCTATTTTGAGTCTTATACATGGGGGTGCATTATACATGGGAAAATACAGTAATTTAGGTACCACTTCTGTACTGAATGCTCTGGGCAGGCCTTGCACATCTAAATAACCAGCAACCAGAAAATAAGGATTTTCTTTATCTCATTTATCTATCTTTCTCTTTTAACCTATTTCTCCCCCCTTGCCCCACTTTTTGTGTTTTTATTGTATCTAGATAATATTCTTTTAAGAAAAGGAAAGGATATTAAGTTCTGTATTTTTCTCGATAAACCTTAATAAAATTTTATTTTATATATATATATAAATAACCAGCAACCAAGAAGCCAAGTCCTTTTAGCACCACCGACCTGGTCTTTGGCACGTGCTTCAGCATGTAGACCGGGTGATCGGAAAATCCACCATGTTCAACCTTGAAATCTCTTTCTGGACATAAGCCCTGTTTAAAAATAAATAAATTGAGGGCCCACCCGAAAACCATGCCTGGGCCTCAGCAGAAAAGAGACCCAGGGGAGCATTTGCACAAATATCTATCTATTCTGAAGCTGGGGTGTGGGCCCCGGGGGCCCAGATGGGGAGGGGAGTCTCCAAAGTATCACCATTAACATTACCTGGTTCTCCTTTGCGTACAGCCTCTGAGGCAGGAGAAGCTGGAGGATTTCATTCCGTCTTCCGTTTTCATACCCCGCTACACAGATACCTAAAGAAATCAGACCAACATTGCTCCTTTTTAAAATTCCAAGACATAAAGAAAGATATGGGGCATCATGCCCAACTGTCAGCTGGTAAAAGGTAAAGGACCCCTAAAGCTGGTAGCTGATCAAATTACTAGCAATCTGAATTCCTAGAAAAAGTGGAAGCAAAAAAAAAATGCCAAAAAGAAAGAAAACAAAAACCTCACTTTTTTCTCCCGTCCACTCAATGACTCTGGTGGGATCGTGAAGCTCAAACAGGTGGAGATCGTTGTACCTGGAAACACGGGGAAAGAGAAGTGGGATAGAGATGCAATGAATGAATGAATGGACAGAGGATGGACACTGAGCGGCTGGATGGCTCAAAGGAGCAGAGCAGCCCTCTCTCCCCATTGGCCACGGAGGCAAAGCGGGAACCCCCTCCTCCCCCTCCTCCCTGATCTTCCCTCCCTTTCTCTACCCCCTCCCCTTTCCCCCTCCCTTTCTTTCTCCCCTCCCCTCTCCTCTTCTCCTCCCCCTCCTCCCTGATCTTCCTCCCTTTTCTCTCCCCTACCCTCCTCTTTCCCTTTCTCTTCCCCCCTCCCCTTTCTCTCCCTCCCTTCCCCCCCCCGCTGACTCACAGTCTCAAGGACTCCAGCAGCCACTCCTCCTCTCCCTCTTCCTCCTCCTCTCCTCCTCCCTCCATCCTCCTTTCCTCCCAAAACTTGCAATCGGCGCGGAACCAGGGTGGCCCGTCACGTGAGAGCGCCCCGTCACGTGAACCGGCCCCCTCCACGTGTCCGCCCGCTTCTCTCCAATCGCCGGGCGCGCGGGGTGGGCGGGGCCTCGCTCGGAGAAAGCCCCTCCCCTCTCGGCCAGCTGCGAGCGAAGGAGGCGCCTCCTCCTCCGGCTTCTTCCTCCCCCCCCCCCCCGAAATGGAGCCGCTCGCCCCGGGCGGGACCTCCGCGCTGTCCTCTGGGGGGGGGGGTGGGAATCCGAGGGGGGGGGCTCCCGTGACTCTCCCTCCCCCGCCCTGTAGGCTAGGCAGAGAGGCGGCGACTGGACCCCCAGGTCTCGCCCCCTGGGGGGATTCGAACCCGGGTCTTTCCCAGAACCGCTGCTCCACACTGGCTCTCGGTGGGCTGGGTGGGCCTTCGGCTTTTATCGGGGTCCTGGTGTTGCAGGAATTTATGTATAGGTGGGGGGTTGCCCCTCCAGCAGATCGCATGCACATGCAGCCCACTACCAAAATCAGCACAATCACTTTTGTGACTTTTGTGGTTTGTCCCCACAAAACACTTCATCACAGTTTCTTCCTATCTATTCAAAGGGCCTTTGCTGCACGATATACCAAATGTAAGAATTCACTGATAAATGCATCTATGTACTGGCTCACTGGGAAAACTTCAGAAATTCATATAAACATGTGAGCTCAGCTCCTCCGCAGCCCCTCTGCCTGTGAGATAATCCCTGGCATCCTGATACCTGAGTGCCAGACAGGTAGCCATTCCAGAAATAACAAACCCAGATGAAGACAAAAGGGTGTGATAAACTTGCCTGGGAAACAGGGAAATGTAAATGTCTCTTTTGTGACACTTGATGGGTGTTTGGTGGAGGGCAAGGGGAACCATGGGGCAGGGTCCAGGATGCTCAGATTACTGCCACCAGAGCTCCCCTTTCATGATGTAACCGTGATGCATGAGTGATGTAGTTTGGGGGGTGTAACAGGGATTTCCTGCCAACCTAGCAGTTCGAAAGCACATCAAATTGCAAGTAGATAAATAGGTACCACTCCGGCGAGAAGGTAAACGGCGTTTCCGTGCGCTGCTCTGGTTCGCCAGAAGCGGCTTAGTCATGCTGGCCACATGACCCGGAAGCTGTACACCAGCTCCCTTGTCCAATAAAGTGAGATGAGCGCCGCAACCCCAGAGTCGGTCACGGCTGGACCTAATGGTCAGGGGTCCCTTTACCTTTTTAACATGGGGATTAGCAGCTAATAAAAGTTTGGGTTCTCTTTTGTTTGGGGCTTCCATCTTGTTCCGTCTTGTGGCAGGTGGGAGTCCTGTTGCGACAGTCTTCAAAAAAGACCAAGCCTACTGGCTGCTGTTTTGCTCTGGTATTCCTGGCTGGGGTCCTTGTATTTTGTCCAAGGGAGCCCTCAGATTTCTCAAAGGGAAAGTGCCAAGTGATGGTGCCCACCGTGGGTGACGTTGTTGTTGTTTAGTTGTTTAGTCGTGTCCGCCTCTTCGTGATCCCCTGGACCAGAGCACGCCAGGCACTCCTGTCTTCCACTGCCTCCCGCAGTTTGGTCAGACTCATGCTGGTAGCTTCGAGAACACTGTCCAACCATCTCGTCCTCTGTCATCCCCTTCTCCTTGTGCCCTCAATCTTTCACAACATCAGGGTCTTTTCCAGTGAGTCTTCTCTTCTCATGAGGCGGCCAAAGTCTTGGAGCCTCAGCTTCAGGATCTGTCCTTCCAGTGAGCACTCAGGGCTGATTTCCTTCAGAATGGATCGGTTTGATCTTCTTGCAGTCCATGGGACTCTCAAGAGTCTCCTCCAGCACCAGAATTCAAAAGCATCAATTCTTCGGCGATCAGCCTTCTTTATGGTCCAGCTCTCACTTCCATACATCACTACTGGGAAAACCAAAGCTTTAACTATACGGACCTTCTTAGCGTGGGAGACGTTAAGAGGGGCAAATTCTTGCAGGAGGAGGCAGCCATTCAGTGGCTCCTCGCCAGAGCGGCTGTGATCTGCGGCAGTGCTTCTGGCTGCTGGGAATCCCAAGGGGGGAAAGGGCAGCTGAGATCAGGTCTCGCTGCAGGCTTCCCACAATTATTATTTCATTTATTAAATTTGCACACCGCCCACATTGTGAGAACAAGATGCTGGACTAATGATTCATCAGTATTGCGTTCAGGTGTCTTTTGCACAACAACCCTGCAAGGTAGATCCAGCCAAGAGATTGACTTTATACCTACTGATGTGACTCAGTTGTTTGCCAACCTGGTGCCCCCTCCAAATGCTCATGGGGGACTGTCCCGAAGTGTCTGCAGTCCTTTCCTGACCCAGCATCTCTCCCCACCTGCCCCCCCATGCCCTTTTACTCCCCGCCATTGCAGCCACTCACCAGCATTTAGAACGAAAATGGAGCAAGAGGGAGCAGGTACAATGCAGGGGGTTGGTCTAGATGACCATCAGGGGTCCCTTCCAGCTCTACAATTCAGTGATTCTTTGTGCATGGGGGAAAAGGGCAAAGATGCACTCGTGTACCAGCTAAACCAGCTTTCCTCTCCCTCTTCTGTGGGATAGCTCAGTTGGCAAAGCATGAGACTCTTGATCTTAAGGTCATGGGTTCGAGCACATTGGGCATAAAAAAAAATCCTGTATCGCAGTGGGTTGGGCTGGATCACCCTCAGGGTCCCTCCCGATTCTGTGATTCTTTCCTTGGGTTCTGCTTCAAGTGGCGCTTGGGAGCAGGTTTTGCACCACCGTGATCTGAATGTATACCCTGCCTATTTTTCAAATCCGTTTGAAGAAGTAAAACGATGAAATAATATATAAAATGTCAGCGGTACATAAAAAGTAATGGCGCGAAACCTTGGTTAACGTAGCAAGCCCAGAAATCAATTAAGCAAACGGAAACAGCAGTTCATAAAGCAGCGATTTAGAAAGAGAGGGAGAGCGAAAACAGACAAAGGAGCAGAAAATACTCCTCTAGAGCAGTGTTTCCCAACCTTTTTTGGGCAAAGGCACACTTGTTTCATGAAAAAAATCTCGAGGCACACCACCATTAGAAAATGTTAAAAAATTTAACTCTGTGCCTATATTGACTACCATATTTTTCGCCCCATAGGACGCACCGCCCCATAAGACGCACCTAATTTTTTGGGGGGAGAATAAAGGAAAAAAAAAATTTCCCCTCCCCAGGCACGGGGCAGGCGCGGGGGAAGCCCAAGCTTCCCCCGACCCCAGCCCCCAGAACAGCCTGATATCCGCAAGCCTAGGGAGCCACACTGGTCTCCCCAGGCTTGCGGAGAGGTGCGTGAAGCCCGGGGGCGCTCTTCAGCGCGCACCAGGCTTCGGGATGCAGGCAGCTCTGCGCTACCCTCCAGAGCCCCGTGCGGCTTCGCGCTGGGATCCGGGGGGTGGCGCGGAGCTGCAAGAAGCCCTGGAGCGCAGGCAGCTTCGCACCACCCTCCGGAGCCCCGCGCGGCTTCGCGCCAGGATCCAGAGGGTGGTGCAGAGCTGCAGGAAGCCCTGGAGCCCAGGTAGCTCCGCGCCACCCTCCGGAGCCCCGCGCGGCTTCGCGCCAGGATCCGGGGGGTGGCGCGGAGCTGCAAGAAGCCCTGGAGCGCAGGCAGCTCCGCACCACCCTCCGCAGCCCCGCGCGGCTTCGCGCCGGGATCCGGGGGGTGGCGCGGAGCTGCAAGAAGCCCTGGAGCGCAGGCAGCTCCGTGCCACCCTCCGCAGCCCCGCGCGGCTTCGCACCGGGATCCGGGGGTGGCGCGGAGCTGCAAGAAGCCCTGGAGCGCGGGCAGCTCCGCGCCACCCTCCGCAGCCTCCTACGGAGGGCGCCCCGTGCTCCGCGCTGCTGGCTGCCGCCCGCAAGCCGTGCACGCGGGGGGGAGTTCCCCTGGGCGCGCAAGGCTTGCGGACAGCTGCGCGAAGCACGGGGCGTCCTCCAAAGGGCGCCCCGCCTCCGCGCTGCAGGCTGCCGCCCGCAAGCCTTGCGCGCGCGGGGGGGGGAGTTCCCCCAGGCGCCCAAGGCTTGCGGACAGCTGCGCGAAGCACGGGGCGTCCTCCAAAGGGCGCCCCGCGCTCCGCGCTGCAGGCTGCCGCCCGCAAGCCTTGCGCGCCGGGGGGGAGTTCCCCCAGGCGCCCAAGGCTTGCGGACAGCTGCGCGAAGCACGGGGCGTCCTCCAAAGGGCGCCCCGCGCTCCGCGCTGCAGGCTGCCGCCCGCAAGCCTTGCGCGCCGGGGGGGGGGAGTTCCCCCAGGCGCCCAAGGCTTGCGGACAGCTGCGCGAAGCACGGGGCGTCCTCCAAAGGGCGCCCCGCGCTCCGCGCTGCAGGCTGCCGCCCGCAAGCCTTGCGCGCCGGGGGGGGGAGTTCCCCCAGGCGCCCAAGGCTTGCGGACAGCTGCGCGAAGCACGGGGCGTCCTCCAAAGGGCGCCCCGCGCTCCGCGCTGCAGGTTGCCGCCCGCAAGCCTTGCGCGCCGGGGGGGGAGTTCCCCCAGGCGCCCAAGGCTTGCGGACAGCTGCGCGAAGCACGGGGCGTCCTCCAAAGGGCGCTCCGCGCTGCAGGCTGCCGCCCGCAAGCCTTGCGCGCCGGGGGGGGAGTTCCCCCAGGCGCCCAAGGCTTGCGGACAGCTGCGCGAAGCACGGGGCGTCCTCCAAAGGGCGCCCCGCGCTCCGCGCTGCAGGCTGCCGCCCGCAAGCCTTGCGCGCCGGGGGGGGAGTTCCCCCAGGCGCCCAAGGCTTGCGGACAGCTGCGCGAAGCACGGGGCGTCCTCCAAAGGGCGCCCCGCGCTCCGCGCTGCAGGCTGCCGCCCGCAATGTTTGGATTTGCATCCAGCAGGAGATGCCGCCGCCGCCCCGCCTCTCCCGCCTCCCTCCCACGGCACACCAGGCAAGGTCTCACGGCACACTGGTGTGCCGCGGAACACCGGTTGGGAAACACTGCTCTAGAGGTCTTTCTTAAACAACCAAATGCCTGGAAATGGGTTTCATGCAGAAGGGCATTGCACAAGGCAGGCGCCATC